CTTTGCCTTTTCGAATTCCAATGGTCCGGCGTGAGCCTAGAAACCATAGAGATAACTGCTATTGTTGCTCATGTAACGTGCAAGGCTATAACACTACAACTAAAAGGAAATTTCTTATCAGAATCTTCAATCCACTATAAGACCTGTTGCTCATGGATCTGATGTATCTGTACCTACTCCACCGGAGACTCTTGATATAAGTTTCAACTGATTCTGGATCTGATGCTAGTAGAAATGATGATAGAGGTTGTTTTCAACCTGAAATGTCTGGTGAACCACAACTTTTCACACAAGATTTCATCAAAACAATAGGGAAATGGAGAGGAGGTATCACGGAAGATGGAACATCAGCATGGTGGCTGAATACTGTTGGTCATTGGAACGAGATGTTCCAGACACAATACATCTGCCAGTATAATATTTTGTATGGAGCTCATTAAGGGACAAATTTACTAGTACTCGTATGACATTTAAGCTCCATTATGGGCACTCACCCTCTTTTTCAAAGTTTATAACTTCTGTATATTCTGATATTTTATTTATACGAATTTCTCATTTATTCTGACAGCAGTTTTAAGACCCATTTCCCAGGATGAGAGGACTTCTGTATCTTTACATGCATGGTAACTTCTTCTCCAGTAGAGGAGGAGAAGAATGGGAATGGAACAAGAGGGTATACACAAAGTAGTAAAACCAGGTATGTATACAAAATTCAATCTTAGAAGTTCTTAGAGCAGTCTCTGCGAAATCTTTGATATGTTTTGTTCATCTTAAAGTTTGTTTATTATTATTTTTTTTTGTAATTCTTTTCCTAAACACAACCAGGGGTTAAATTAAGCAGACTGCAATTTTCATCCTTTTTGTTTTGACGTACAGTATTCATATTGTACAGCGAATCGCCATCCTCAGTTTTGCCGCTATATCGCTACTGCAAACCTGATCATGGAAGGACTTCTCTTCTTCCAAAATTCCAATTTTGTCACTGAATACGTAGTTAAAATTTATTATTCAATTCCTAAGTTTCATTATCGTTGTTCTTAACCTCTTCAATGTATATGTATTCAGTATATATTTCTGAGTATGATTTTATTTAACTCTAAGCTTTCATCATTTATCTAAGTTTAATTTACTTTTGTGTTCTGTGCATATTATAATTAACTTTATTTTAATTATAAATTTTGCTTGGTCTAACTTGTTTACGTCTCTGTTCCATTTTCTAGTGTATATATTTTTTGTCTCGTTTCTACACATACACACGTTTTCATGAATTTTCCCTCATTGTTTTCTTCTGCAGCGAGAAATCACATTGAAAACCAAAAGTAATTTTAAACAAATAATAATTAATATTATTTTATCTCAAAATGATACCCAAATAAAAAATCATTTCAGATATACAAGTTTTATACGAGATACTTACAGAGGTAACGCTACGAGAAATAGTAGATTCAAAATTTCTTAAGCTATTTAGAATGCCACATTAACAACGTTCATTAAAAAACGTCCAAACGAAACCTCTACACTCTACCCTAAAGGCAGTCTACAAAAGAGTAAAAGGAACGTATTAATGATCAAATTTGTTGACCATGATAATGATTTAGCTTATTTAAGCATTGGTTTGCCCTTGTGGTAAGGTTGGTATAACTTAAACTAGTGTGGACCAGTTGGTAGTACACTGGACTAAGGACAGTTATAGCTTTTCTTCACTTTCTTCTTCTTCATCGGGATTTGGTCCATGTTTTGGACCAGGGAGGGTCACGTTCAGCGTAGCCCCCCCCCTCTCTGGAATTGTTATTTTGTTTGCACTGTTAGTGAATCCTAGATAATAACCCTTGTTAAACTTTTCTTAACGGGTAAGTTTGTTTGTTTTGAATTTCGCGCAAAGCTACACGAGGGCTATCTGCGCTAGCCGTCCCTATTTTAGCAGTGAAAGACTAGAGGGAAAGCAGCTAGTCATAATCACCCACCGCCAGCTCTTCGGCTACTCTTTTACCAACGAATAGTGGGATTGACCGTTACATTATAACGCCCCCACGGCTGAAGGGGCGAGCATGTTTGGGGGGATGGGGATTCGAACCCGCGACTCTCAGATTGCGAGTCGAATGCCCTAACCACCTGGCCATGCCGGGCCTCTGACTTCCTTCCCTCCAGTCAATCAATTCAACATTAGGGACGGCTAGCGCTGATAGGCCTTGTTTAGATTTACGTGAATATCTGAGATAGACTTATAATGAGGTTTTAGTTGGTGTGTTATTTTAGTTACAAGCATTTTCTACTTCAGATTTGTGCTGGAATTACTTCCCAAGCATTTAAAAAAAATTTATAATGAAATAACTATCACACCAAATAAGACATTCTTAAAAAAACAAACTTGCATTATTAACGATCGTATTCTATAGATAATACCTTTAAAAAAACGCGGAATTCTATTGTACATAAATTTTATTACAAGTACGTAAATAATGATTAATGAACTTGATGTACTTCAGCACGATGTAATCTACTTGAAGAGAATTTAAAATTACACAAAAGTGTTGTAGCTAGTGGTTAAATCATTTTATTTTTTCACTGAAACACGAAGCGCGTACAGTCACTATTAACGAACCGATAACACTACAACAAAACTTGTTCGAAGTTATGAGCTCTTCAAAAAGCACAAACTCTAGGTGATCTTGACCCACTTCGCACATCGCTTTGTTTTCGAGTAATAAGAGAAAGTAACGTTCAACAATGCCAAATTTAAGTCGTGTTCATTGGTTGTTTTTATCTATCACGACCATAAGGCGAACGTGGGGATTATGCATCCAGTCGGGTTTCTCCGAGCATATAATGTTGATTACCACACTTGCTTGTCACGTATGTTGAATACCATCGTCTGCTTGTTTTCGAAGTGCTCAAGTTGAGATGCCTCTATCAACTTTCAAGGTCAACGGTGTCAAAATATTGTATCCAAATTCTAGTTTCTGTATCGATACTTATCTTGAATTATACTTGACAGATCCGAAATAAACTTGGTAGAATTAAAAGTTGTAATTTTTATATACGAACTTACCTAGCGTAAAAGCCTCTTACTATGCGGTCATGTTTGTTTGTAATTAAGCACAAAGCTACACATTGGGCTATCTGTGCTCTGCCCACCACGGGTATCGAAACCCGATTTCTAGCGATGTAAGACCGCAGACATGCCGCTGTGCCACTAGGGGGCTCCAGTCATGTAGCAGATTTGATTAAACGTCGTAGAAAAAGGTCTTACAAACTCAACAGTTTCTTTACATTTACCAGCTGTAGATAATTTATGAACAATATATAAATATCTTAATAATAGTTTTAGGTAGATTGTTTAGGCAGAGTATTCACGATGAAACTTAGTTGAATGGACGGTAACTGCCTGTTGTAGAAACACAAGTGTAGAGGACGACGTTTTCGAAGAGTCTTCCGCTTTTTGTCTCTAGGTCAGTGACGAAAGGCG